ACAATTAATTCAGCCGTCAGAAGGTGTAAAATGTTCAATCCTACACAAAAAACAACACTTCAAAATCATTCTTCCCATGCCAGATAGCAGATAGTACCTGAAGTGATTGGATGAGGGTTTATAGATAGTACCTGAAGTGATTGGATGAGGGTTTATAGATAGTACTGGAAGTGCTGGATGAGGGTTTATAGATAGTACAGGAAGTGCTGGATGAGGGTTTATAGATAGTACCGGAACTGCTTGGATGAGGGTTTATAGATAGTACCGGAAGTGCTTGGATGAGGGTTTATGAAGTTTACAAACAAACAACTTTCACACCAGGAACACACCTTCTCTTTAGAAATGTAATTAAGAAGACTGTGGAACATACATTTTGGAACTTATAACCATGAAAATATTTAAGTGCACATAAATAAATACAGATCTAATGATTTTGTTATTGGTAAATTATATGGAGTGTTTCTTATTATTGCATTATTTACTGAAGTAAACAGGTCATAACTATGCATAGAAACAGTACTAAATTATCCAGTGATATATCTTATATGAACCAGAAAAAGCACAATGTGCTTCCTTGCAATACACTTTAAATATTTCATATAAATCATTTTTTTTTTTATATATTCTATTAACTGGACCATTATTAACTGGTCAATGAAAAAAATCATAACCTTGCTTGTTCCATTTAGCAACTTGAAAATGTGCAAGTGTTAACTGTTCATGTATATTCAAAATCTTATTATGAGCCCTAGTTTATAAATGTCGTCACATATTAAAGAATGATTAATTCATGCATAGATGAAAAAGATACATCATATCTTTTTAATAATGTTCATGGTTTAACATTATATAAATATTTAAAAATAACTTTAGGTGTCCAACTACAACAAAAACTTCATTTTGGCCTTCTATAAACATCCCAGTGACTATTCTAAAGGAAGCCACTGTAACTTAGAATGCAGTGAATACGGAGTGTCAATTGAATGAGGCAACAACTGCATCCTCACCATCTACTGTGATTGGCAAAATTACAGAGGTTTGTCAATGTTTCATATAATTATTTTTATGTTTGTGTATAACCACCAGTTGAAGTCTGTATGAATACATAGGAAAACAGTGAATTTCTGTTAGAAAATGGTAGCAGAGCAAGGTTTAAAATAACAGTAAAAAAAAGACGGCCATGATGGACATAAATCGCTCACCTGAGTCACAATACTTGTTAATGTGGGGTTTTTTTTAAGGAAGATTTTTTGTTTGTTTTTACTATATACATGAAAGGAAAATCAATAACCCCAGGGTTGGGGCCAATTTTGACCACAGGGATTTTATTTGAACAAACTTGGTAGACACTCACTAGAAGATGTTGCATGCCAATTATCTAAGCTCTAGCTCATTACGTTTCTTTAAAACAAGACATTTTAATTTTTTTTATTTTGATTACCATGGCAACCAGAGTTATGCATGGAATTAAATTCTTTGAACAATTTTTAAAGATGACCACCAAAGGAACCCTGTGAGGTTTAGATGAAATTGGCTCAGCGGTTTATGAGATGTCATTTAAAGTAAAACTTTACGGACAGACAACGGACGGATGAAAAGCGATCACAAAAGCTCACCATGTCACTTTGTAACAGGTGTACTAAAACAACATAGATATGCTGAAAGGTGTGGATCATCCAAGTTGTCATCGTGCTTTATATGAAATATTCAGAGAGCCACATGAACCAATTGCTCGACTGACTACTCAAGGATGGACATGTGATGGCCCATTTGAAAGTGACAACACACCAAACCTTTAACACTTACTTCCAGAAAGACATAACATTAGAACATGCGATTGAAAATTTTTGGGACAGAGAAAACATTCCATCTAAAAAATTATTTTCAACTAGACAGAGAAACAACAAACGTACAAATCGTGTTCGACACAGCAGCAAAGCACAATTGCATTTCTTTAAACGAAGCTCGAACCTACAGAATAAATTGTTTGATGTACTTAATAGCCACTAGGTATCATTTGTGACATTGGAGAGATGTACATGAGAGTAGGAATTAATCTGATTGATCAATGGTGTCAGCGCTTTCTAATCAACTCCAAACATTCAACATGAATTGAATTCAACGCATCTCCATTTCTCGCTTGCAAATTGCAATACTGTATAGAAATGAATTTCCACATGCATCAGAAATAGTCTTGAAGTCGACTGATATGGATAACAGAATGGATTCAGTTGTGAAACCTTTTGAAGGAATAGAGGTTTATCTTCGGGGATTCTGTATTTATCTATATTATCAACAACTGCTAAGTTTTTTGAAGAAAACCAACATGTTTGCACGGAAGTGATTATCAAACTCAACAGAAGTGATAGACAAAATTCCATATAAAACCGAGCATTAAAAGTGGAATTACCTCAAAGAAAATTGCCTAACATGAAAACTTTAGGTATGTTGTGGTTCTCAAATGAGGATAGATTCACATACAATGCACAGCCATCACCGGCAACTGAAGAATAATTTTAAGGAAAATAGCATAAATCTTTGATCTGCACGGATGGATTTATATGACCTTACATTATTCGATGCAAGATTTGTGGTTAACAGGCTTAGATTGGGATGAACAAATTCCAAAAGAAATAGCACAGCATTTCTGGAAATTATATAATGAATTAAATATTTGAACGACATTAGGATTCCACGCTGTATAAGACTTGAAACATTTTGTCCAGTAAAAAATGTGACAGCTTGTATTCGGCGATTCCTCAGAGAAAGCATGTTACATAATAATATATGCACAATGCACAAGTTGAATGTGTGAAACTGTTACCAAGATAATGAACGGAAACTGATGATCACGGAATGACAGAATTTCAGAATGACGGAATAGGGTAACACTATATGCCCTACCCATTTTATGGCGGGGGCATAAATAGACAAGAGGGCCATGATGGCCCTGAGGTCGCTCACCTGTATATAGGCCCCCGTAGCGGGGCCAGTTTAAACCCCAGGGCTTTTATTTGAGCAAACTTGGAAGACACCCATTAGAAGATGTTTCATGATGTTAAGTTTTTACTACACACATATAATGAAAAACAATGACCTCCCCCCCCCCTTTGGCAGGGCCAATTTAAACCAAAGGCCCGTCCCTAGATTTGCCACTACTTGCCAGCTATTTCCACTGAAAAGGGTGGCATTAAGTGTAAAAAAGGTGGCATTAACTGGAAAATGACAAAATTGCACTCTTTTTCCACTGTAGTGGCAAAATTGCCACCAAATGCCACTATCCTTTGGTGGCATTTAGGTGGCATTGAGTGGAAATTTGAACATAGACTTTTTTTATGGTGGCAAAAGGGTGGAAATTGGTGAAAAATGAAACTTAGTTTATTTTGAAGGTGGAAAATGAGTGGCTTTTAGTGGAAAAGTGAAACTCTAACTATTTTTCTGGGTGGCAAAATAGTGGAAAAAACTTAGAAAATTTTGTGAATAACTTTTAGTCGAAAAGGGAAACTCTTAACTATTTTCTGGGTTGTATAAAATTGGTGGATAAACTGAGAAATCTAGTAATTGTGCATTGCAGGGTTTAAGATTTATTTAAGTCAAAGCTCCAAACTGAAATAAATCTGTTTATAGTTTGTACTCTACCAAAGCATCAAGTGAACTTTTTATCAAAAATATAATCTATTGAAGTTGAACAGTTAGAAAATTTTATCAGAAACTCATATTTCTTAAACATACTAGAATGCCATGAACACAATTCTGATACAAAGTCACTGCCTCACAGTAATGGTATGATAATTCCAGCTGTAAAGTAGCAGGAAAAGACACAGAAATTGGACGTAAAATCACTTTTCCAGGAGTTAAACACATATAATTATGATCAGGAAAAATTAGAAAAGTATGGGGTTACTTAACTTCCCATTTTTTATTAGTACTTTTCTTTAGGGATGTAAAATTTGACTTTCAAGTCAAAATGTTTATGTTCCATTCTATGCTTGTAAAATAAAATTACGGCTTTTAAAGTGTACTTTGTTCTTTAGTTATAATCTGTACATTAATTGAATAGTTGAAATGTTCTTCTATGCCCAGAAAATGCATATCTCTGCATAAAGTTTGTTGCTTCTTCTATGATATTTAATGTCAATCCTGATTAAAGTTTGACTTTTGTTTTTTCTTCTAATTGACATAATAAATTGTCTCTTCAATATTACTTTAAACTGATATCTGGTGAGTACTAACACTTTTCATGTAATGCTAACAATAATTAAAGTGAAAAATGCAAAGGGCAATAACTCCAAAAGTATGCAAAGAGTTATGGTTCTTAAACACAGCACATTACTCAAAAAGATCTATATCTGTGAAGTTTCAAATTAATATCTCCAGTACTTTTTAAGCATAATGATAAAGACAAAAATTAAGCATAGAGAAGTAAAAAATGGCAATAAACCCCAAATCATGCAATAAAAAGTTATGGTTCCTTGGCATTGTAACTTCTCATAAATGAGATTTAGTTATATGTGGAGTTTAAAATTATTGTCTCAACATCTTTTGTGCTATGCTTTCAGAGGCTTTAAATCTATTGTAAAAATTAATGTGTGAAAAGTAAATAAGTCATAATGTCTGATAAATTTCTTACAATCAGGATAAGTAAATACTAGCTAGTAAATACTGCATCCTCTAAGATTTAACAACACAGCATACATCTCAGATCTGATAAAACTACTGCCCTCTTATCTAGTAATCTATGAATGGGGGTTAATAGTTTACTCATGCTGACCAGAATGTTCCATTTGATTATTTTGGGAGAGGCAACATTATACATGTTTTTATGTAGAATTTGTCTTAAAATAGCATGCCAAATTATCTTTCAAAAGCTTATTTCTACTCAATCTATTTAGGTATTAGATATAGTTATACATTCAAATGAATGTAAAAAATAAAATGATGGGTGCTATGGTTTTTGGAAAACTCCTCACAATTTAAAATTATAATGGACTGTCCATGCAGTTACATGTTGTAAAGTTTGAATTCAAAGGAATTGAGGTCAGTTAAAGCTTGCAAACACAAAGGAAATTATTGATATTGTAGCAATTCTGGAGATATTTTGTTTAAAATGTAAGGGTGCATATTTTTGATTTCTCAAAGAAAACATTTAAAGTCTTATTAGTGTGGTAAATATAAATGAGAAGTTTTAACTGAAGTGTGAATGTGTAGACAAGAAGATAAACAGCAGAATCATTCCCAGTCAAAGTTTCAGGTAAACAACTTTTACATACAATAATTATTGTTATTTATGCAGAAACTGTTTAGTTTTTTGACAGTAAAAATATGAAGTGGTATTGTATAAAATTGTGTTTTATATTTGTTTTGTTTGTAACTTGACTAAAAAGAAAGCTGCATGTACAATGTACATATAAAGAATGTAGGAATATAAAGAATGTAGGAAGATCTTCATCATTTCTTAAATACAATATGTTAGAAATTTTAAGTTTGAGAAAAAAATTATAGAAATTAATCAGTAAGTACAATATCATTATGTAAAATATTACATCAATCAAACTATAGATAACCTGAGGTACCTATTATTACAACTTTCATGCTATAAACAATTTTCCTTGTGTGTCACATGTGGAGCAGATTAACAGTAACTGATTTATTAGTAAGTTTCATTCCTTCATTGTTGTAATTCAGCTTTCATGGTGCAGTAGATAATTATATAACCATAACTAGACAGTCTAGATTAACATGCTATTAGGAGAGTGACAGTTCATAACAGAAACAGCATTAAATAAGAATTATTATTTTGCAGACACAAAGCAATGAGGAGCAGCCTGGAGCAACACATTTGATCTTCAGTGGCTTTACAAAGGTATCTTGTTAATTCAAAGTTATTTTAGAATTAATAGGAAAGAAGTGTCACAGTACCCAATTAGACACTTTTCAGTTCTTGATAAATATAGCTATTAGTCACTATTTACAAACCTACTTTAATTCAAACTCTTTATGACACTTTAATTTGCATTTACATTTTGTTTTACAAATTTTAGAGTTTTTGTACATTTAGCTTGAAAATTTTAAGTTGTATTTCTTTATTTCTTTCTTATTTAAAAATTTTAGAGTTGTATACATATACCAAGGTCTTATAAAAGTGTTTCATTTTCTGTCTTTACATATTAGATATTGAATAATCATTTTCTGTCTTTACTTATTTGATATTGTTAATCATATTTTAGGACCAAGTGATGGCAGAACTGAAGCCATATGCCTCAAAGAGAAAGGAACAGCAAAGCTCTTCAGAATGCTATTCAATATAGAAGAGATTAAAGGCCGCTCATTGTTTGGTATGAGGAAAGGGAACAGAGAGTCTAAAGCCAGACCTTCTTGTGCAGACAAGGCAAAACTTAAGTTCTTGAAAGGTAACTAATGAACTGAATGAAAATATCATTTTTGATTCTGCGTATATTTTCTGCCTTGGAGAAATAAGAAAAGTCTGATTCTTCCACGTCTGCAGTGCCGTTTTTTAAAGTGTTTTTAATCATATCTATGCACTCAAATTGAATATAGAAATATCCAATAGTCATATAAAAATGTAAGCTTATGTTTTTTAATTATTGTATTAATCATTCATAATTTTTTTTGTTTTAGATTGTGCGCTCGAAAAGTTGCCGACAACCTAAAGGACTGAACTCAAACCATCCAGGAATAGCAAGATAAACTGAAGAAAATAAATGGACTAATGTTTTGCTATTTTTTGAGACAATATATAACTTCATATGGAAACATTAAAAAGGATTATTTTTAAAATTTGTTTGTTTCCAATTTAGGGTACAGGGTGACTTTCAAGCAGTTTCCAGCTATTGCCACCCACAAGGTGGAAAATTTCTGAAAGGGTGAAAATAGGTGGCATTTAGTGGAAACTGAATTTGCCACTATCTGGTGGCAAAATGGTGGAAAAGTGTCTAAATACTCCACCAATTTTCCACCCTTATGGTGGCAAAAGGTGGAAATAAGTGGCATTTGGGAAAATAAGTTTGCCACTCAATGGTGGCATAATGGTGGAAATTTGTCTAAATACTCCACCAATTTTCCACCATTATGGTGGCAATAAGTGGAAATAAGTGGCATCTAGTGGAAAATGAGTTTGCCACCCTAAGGTGGCATAATGGTGGCATTATGGTGAAAGTTTGTCTAAATACTCCACCAATTTTCCACTCATTGGTGGCATTTAGTGTAAAAAAGGTGGAATTAACTGGAAAATTATATAACATCAGTCCTGCTCAATTTTTTCACCATTTTCATGATTTGGGTGGCGTTTTGGTGGCGTTTTGGTGGCATTATTGGTGGAAAATTGTCTAAATACTCCACCATTGAAAAGGGTGGCATTTTAGTGGCAAATCTAGGGACGGGGGGCTTTTATTTGGACAAACTTGGTAGACACCAACAAAAAGATATTTCCTGCTTAAAATCTAACCTCTAGCTCATTGGGTTTTTTAAAAGAAGATTTTTTAAACTTTGTAGACACCCATTAGAACATGTTTCATGCTAAATATCTTAGCTCTAGCCCTTTGGGTTCTTTAAAAGAAGATTTTTTAAGTATTTTCTATATGCATATAGGGAAAATCAACGACCCCCAGGGCGGGGCCAATTTTGACCCCAGGGATTTTATTTGAACAAACTTTGTAGACACCCATTAGAACATGTTTCATGCTAAATATCTTAGCTCTAGCTCTTTGGGTTTTTTAAAAGAAGATATTTAAAGTTTTTTCTTTTGGTTGCCATGGCAACCAGAGTTCTGCATGGAATTAAATTCTTTGAACAATTTTTAAAGGTGACCACCAAAGGAACATTCCTGTGAAGTTTGGATGAAATTGGCTTAGTGGTTTATGAGGAGATGTCATTTAAAGTAAAAGTTTACGGACGGACGACGGACGGACGGACGCTGGATGAAAAGTGATCACAAAAGCTCACCCTGTCACTTTGTGACAGGTGAGCTAAAAATAAATTAAAACAAATCAATTCAAATGAAATTGGCATCTTGCTCAGCAGGAGATGATGACATAACTATTAAGTCAAATTAACCTTCCAACATTATACATACTGAAGTTCAGTCAAAATGCTAAAACTAACAAGAGCCATGTCAACATGGCCATCCCCCGCCGAATGTGTTTTCTCATTGGAAGAATGTATATGTAGTAGAGCAGAATAATTCCATTTTAAGAGGTCTTTTGGTAATGAAAACTGATGGCTATAATGATTACAGATTTGAAACCTATGTGAATACTGATGGCTGAAAATAACAAAGGGCAATAACTGAAAAATAATGCAGGGTAGGTTATTCTTGTGTGCTGCATCCCTCCTCAGTAAAATCTATCCACCTATGAAGTTTCAAGTTGATACCTCAAATACTTTTTGAGAAAAAAATTGAATTGAAAAATTAAGTATGAAAAATAACAAAGGGCAATAACTCAAAAATTATAAAATGTACAGTTATCATTCTTGTGCAGTGCATACCTCCTGAGTGAGATCTATGCACCTATGAAGTTTCATTTTGATATCTCAAAGGCTTTTTGAGTTATGCTCTGGACAAAAATTAATTTTGAAAAATAACAAAGGGCAATTACTCAAAAATAATGCAGGGCAGAGTTATCATTCTTTAGCACTGCACTCCTCCTCCATGAGATCCATCCACCTATGAAGTTTCAAGTTGATAACTCAAATACTTTTTGAGATAAGCTCTGGACAAAATAGCATGAAAAAAAACAACAAAGGGCAATAACTCAAAAATTGTATAGGGAAGAGTTATCATTCTTGCGCACAACATTCCTCCTCAAAAAGATCTATCCTTCTATGACATTTCATGTTGATATCTCAAACACTTTTTGAGTTATGCTCTCAGGTGAAAAATTAGGTATGAAAAATAACAAAGGGCAATAACTCAAAAATTATGAAAGGAAGAGTTATCATTCTTGTGCACTGCACACCTCCTGAGTGAGATCTATGCACCTATGAAGTTTCATGTTAATATCTCATAGGCTTTTGGAGTTTTGCTCTGGACAAAAATCAATTTTGAAAAATAACAAAGGGCAATAACTCAAAAATCATGCAAGGTAGAGTTATCATTCTTGTGCACTGCACTCCTCCTCAATGAGGTCTATCCACCTATGAAGTTTCAAGTTGATAACTCAAATACTTTTAGAGATATGCTCCGGACAAAAATTTCGGACGGAAGGTCGGACGGACGGAGACTATTTCTATATCCTCCGCCGAAAATTTTCGGCGGGGGATAAAAACATTAATTTAAATAGAAAAAAATTATCTTACAGTTACAGTCCACCTTCTGTAAACCCATACATCAAAAAATTAAATTGGCATTAAATTTTAACAACTTGATAGCCTAAATTTAATTTTGGCATGTAAGTTTCTTGTTATGCTTAATACAAAAAATACCTACTATACCTATTAAACAAAATACCTATTATACCTATTTAACAATGTAGTTTTTGAGTAAGCCAATATAAGATATATTCATACAGCATATGCCCAGCATGTGCTATGTTATCTCCATCATCTGATAAACCATATGTACATGCATGTATTCCAAACTATAACTCTGTTCCAACTTAAACATACACTATTACTATTAAAACAAGATATGTTTGTAAAACATGTATGCCCCCTATCAGCAGCCAATTAGTCATGTGATAAGGTTATTATGCATGACTTCTGACCCAGTGATCAAACAATTAATAAGGGTTATAAAGTATCTACTGGTCATGACCTTGACCTTTGACCCCTTGACCCAAAACTCAATAGGGGTCATCTGCTGGTCACGACCAATCATCATACAAAGTTTGAAGTTCCTAGGCCTAGGCGTTTTTAGTAAATTGATCAGAAACCGTTTTTACCTACAAGGTCAATGTGACCTTGACCTTTGACCCCTTGACCCCAAAATCAATAGGGGTCATCTGCTGGTCATGACCAATCACCATGCCAAGTTTGAAGTTTCTAGGCCGAAGCGTTCTTTAGTTATTGATCAGAAACCGTTTTTTACTTACAAGGTCATTGTGACCTTGACCTTTGACCCCTTGATCCCAAAATCAATAGGAGTAATCTGCTGGTCATGACAAATCACCATACCAAGTTTGAAGTTCCTAGGCCTAAGCGTTCTTGAGTTATTGATCAGAAACCGTTTTTACTTAAAAGGTCAATGTGACCTTGACCTTTGACCCCTTCACCTAAAACTCAATAGGGGTCATCTGCTGGTCATGACCAATCATCACACAAAGTTTGAAGTTCCTAGGCCTAAGCGTTTTTTAGTTAATTGATCGGAAACCGTTTTTACCTAAAGGTCAATGTGACCTTGACCTTTGACCCCTTGACCCCAAAATCAATAGGTCATCTGCTGGTCATGACCAATCACCATACCAAGTTTGAAGTTCCTAGGCATAAGGGTTTCTTAAGTTATTGATCGGAGAGCATTTTTACCTACAAGGTCAATGTGACCTTGCCCTTTAACCCCTTAACCCCAAAATCAATAGGGTCATCTGCTGGTCATGACCAATCACCATACCAAGTTTGAATTTCCTAGGCCTAAGGGTTCTTTAGTTATTGATCGGAAACCGTTTTTTACCTAAGAGGTCAATGTGACCTTGACCTTTGACCCCTAGACCCAAAATCAATAGGGGTCATCTACTGATCATGACCAATCACCATGTCAAGTTTGAAGTCCCTAGGCCTAAGGGTTCTTTCATTATTGATCGGAAACCGTTTTTACCTACAAGGTCAATGTGACCTTGACCTTGGACCCCTTAACGCAAAAATCAATAGGGTCATCTGATTGGTCATAACCAATCACCATACCAAGTTTGAAGTTCCTAGGCCTAAGGGTTCTTTTGTTATTGATCAGAAACCGTTTTTAATTAAAAGGTCAATGTGACCTTGACCTTTGACCCCTTGACCCCAAAATCTATACGGGTCATCTACTGATCATGACCAATCACCATACCAAGTTTGAAGTTCCTAGGCCTTAACGTTCTTTAGTTATTGATCGGAAACCGTTTTTACCTACAAGGTCAATGTGACCTTGACCTTTGACCCCTTGACCCCAAAATCAATAGGGGTCATCAACTGATCATGACCAATCACCATACCAAGTTTGAAGTTCTAGGCCTTAAGGTTCTTTAGTTATTGATCAGAAACCGTTTTTGCTTACAAGGTCAATGTGACCTTGACCTTTGACCCCTTGACCCCAAAATCAATAGGGGTCATCTACTGATCATGACCAATCACCATACCAAGTTTGAAGTTCCTAGGCCTTAAGGTTCTTTAGTTATTGATCGGAAACCGTTTTTGCTTTTAAGGTCAATGTGACCTTGACCTTTGACCCCTTGACCCAAAATCAATAGGGTCATCTACTGGTCATGACTAATCACCATACCAAGTTTGAAGTTCTAGGCCTAAGGTTCTTTAGTTATTGATCGGAAACTGTTTTTGCTTTCAAGGTCAATGTGACCTTGACCTTTGACCCCTTGACCCCGAAATCAATAGGGGTCATCTACTTGTCATGACCAATCACCATACCAAGTTTGAAGTTCCTAGGCCTTAAGGTTCTTTAGTTATTGATCGGAAACCGTTTTTGCTTCAAGGTCAATGTGACCTTGACCTTTGACCCCTTGACTCCAAAATCAATAGGGGTCATCTACTGTTCATGACCAATCACCATACCAAGTTTTGAAGTTCCTAGGCCTTAAGGTTCTTTAGTTATTGATCGGAAACCGTTTTTGCTTTCAAGGTCAATATGACCTTGACCTTTGATCCCTTGACCCCAAAATCAATAGGGGTCATCTACTGGTCATGACCAATCACCATACCAAGTTTGAAGTTCCTAGGCCTTAAGGTTCTTTAGTTATTGATCGGAAACCGTTTTTGCTTTCAAGGTCAATGTGACCTTGACCTTTGACCCCTTGACCCCAAAATCAATAGGGGTCATCTACTGGTCATGACCAATCACCATACCAAGTTTGAAGTACCTAGGCCTAAGGGTTCTTTAGTTATCACTCGGAAACCATTTGGTCTACGGACCGACGGACCGACAAGTGCAAAGCAATATACCCCCTTTTTTTCAAAATGGGGGCATAATAATACTTCAAAACAAACATTAGAAAGAAACTGATTTATATCAAAATCTAGTATCACATGAAAATCAGCAAAAAAAAAAACCCCAGTGAAAATCAGCAAAAAGTTTGATAGCTGACTGCCTGTGGAAAACCAGTAAAAATGTCAATGCCCTTTAGAATATGCATTACCCATTGTTAAAAATTTGTGACCTTCTCTGGTAAAATTCCTGGATTTCCACCTGTGTAAAGTGGTATCACTTAAATTAATCATTCTGGTTTGAAAGCAATCCTATTTTGTTAACTAAACTTTTTTACATTTTTTATTTTTAATCTTAAAGTAGCCCATTATTGCAATAAAAGTACTGCCAACATCATATCTTTTTTTACTGTGAACATTTATTTCTCTCTGATTTAATAGTGTTGTATAGAACATTTCTCTTTTCAAGCATTACATCCAAATCTCTTTCCTTTAATACTGTTGCCATGGAGACCAGTCTATAGTTGCCCAGGGATACTATACCAGATTTATCAGTTTTCACAGCATCAACACATTTCAATGCAAGAAGCAGAGATTCACTTGCATCATCAGTCACAGGAAATAAGTTAGTATTCCAGAGGTTAAATTTAGCATCAGTATTGTCAGGAATCACTTTAGCAATGTCTTCATTAGTCACTGCTGTGAAGTCTTCAACAAGCTTCCCAAGGAACGCTAGCTGCTTTATGTCTTTACCAGGTGCCTCTTTCTTTAGATTATCTTTTATATCAAAGAAAACAGTCACAAATTTTGTACTTTGACCCTCATCTGTAAGTGGAATTGTGTGTACAAATAGATCATTCGGAAAATCTAAACACTTCACAGTATTCATGTACTCAACCAAGGATGGTGTTTTCCCTTCTGCATCCTTGATTCGGATATCTGCTTTAAACTCTAAGTTGCTGAGAATACAACATTGCCCTACCTTTATTGGAATGCTGAAAGAACAAAACTCTATCACAGATGTAGCTGATATGAATGACTGGTCATGGAGGTAGCTATGCATGACACAACCTTGGCTTGTATCTGATAACTTCAAACGTTTAGGTGGTAAAGGTAGGTCGGACGCATCGCCGGAACCGCATTTCAACACTGGAGAAATCTGACTAATATTTCTAGTCCAAAGATTAAAAACATCCTTTTCAAGGCCCATCTCTGCCTGAAACATGACATCACAGCAAAAATGTTCAATGTATTCCTTTGTTGTGCCAATATGTATAAACTTGGAACAATTCATGACTAGAACAGTTATATTTGACTTGTTAAGAAGATTGAATATCTTTTTCCTTGTTGCCAACAGACTTGGTGTTACAATGCTTACATTCGAGGTATTATTGATATAAGCAGACGTTGCTCTAGGACCTAAAGCTTGCAGAAAATCTCCATAAGCATCTATTTCACATGACAATGGTCCATTCTCTGTGGCAAATGAAAGTAATTTTTTGCTGATATCATGGGCAAAGAAAAAAGAACTGTCAGTGTAGGCTACTGAATCTTCCACTTTTATCCCATCAGGAAATTCAAGGTCATTCGCCTTCAGCACAGCGCCTTTCTTATACATCAAGACTTCACTTGGTTTTTGTAGTACTTCAAGACAATTGCACACTTGAAGAGGACAACGTGGATTCACATTCCCAATATCATGTATCACGTACACTCCATGTCCTGTTCCAACGGCCAGACTAGAAGGATGAGCTAACACTGTAAAACCTTCCTCGCAAAACTTTATATCATCATGTGAATCACCTAAATCATAAACAAGGAAGTCGTCAGCACACGTAACAAATACACCTTTTGGCATCTTTGGTATGAGAGGGTAAAACATTGCCAGCTTGATGTCCAGCATTTGGTAAATTGGATTTCCTCGAGGAATAGGAGAAAATATTTTCCCAAGAACACTTGCACTTGGCATTCTCTGACTCTGGCCTCCGGCATGGATTATTAATACCCGATAGTCATAAAGTTTCTTACCAAACTTTTCATGGAGAACCTCAAGTGCCACAATTGTTGAGCCACCATTTCCTGTAATTGAAAGACGAATTAACTCAACATCACTATACATTGTTATTATCATTATACTTATCTGGTTTTAAAATATTAAATGTATTTTATCTTAATTCTGAACCTAATGTTGTACTGATAATATATCAGATACTTGAAGATTAACAATCCAGTATTATCACTGAATCAAGTAAGACCAACTGCCTGCACTGTTTAATTATTTCAAGACAAACCAAACCATACACAACACTTCAAAAGAATGTACAATTGCTTTGTGGTGAAAGAAATACATACAAATCAATTTCCAATCAAAATACAGGTAGTTAATTACATGAAAATCAATAAAGGTCTTGGAGACCCCATCCTCTCCACCAAAATCAAAAGTAAACACAATTGAAATAAAATTATAGAATTCAACAACTGAATAAGTAGAATAAGTACATGTTTTAGAAAAATCTTGTAATGTTAATATGTTTTATTTTTCTCAACTTTATTGTTTGCATATTTGGATCCACAATAAATAATCCTTTCATTAAAAGATAACTAAAACTTAATGTCATGAATACATGAATTAGATTTATACAGTTTGCTAAGAGACAAGAGCAGTAATACAAAATACAGAAAAAAACCCCAAAGTAATCACAACATTGAAACTGATTTTTTACTAGTAGTAAGTACTACAGTAGTCAGTGTTTTTTTTCTTTATATAACTACTACCCTAAAACGGTACTGTTCCCAATAGAAAATAGACATTAAAATTCCCAATTTCCAACGTTTAAATTCCCAAAATGGCTGTTCAAAATTCCCACAAGGCCAAGAAATTTCTCTGAAATAATTTAAATCCAACATAATTCATATAAATCACCACCTCATAGTAACTGTTCTACCTTGACAGTGGAAGCTGTTAGCTATCTTTATTCATGATGATTAATCTTATTTGTAGCTGAAAAAATGCATTAAAAAATATTCCCAAACGCATTTTTTCCCAATCAGTCTGGTGCCGGCACCATTCCCAAAGTAGAGAAAAAAAACGCTGGTACTACTATAACTTTTGCTAATGCTACAGAAAATCGAATTACCAATTTTTGGACCTGGAGGATCTGCAACCACAATAATTTCTACATTTACAGGCAATTCTTGTCTTTCATACTTGTATTTCAGCTGTTTTTCATACACATTCTTCTGGGCCTCGTCTGCTGCAGTGAGAACAACCACATCCCAAAAAGTTGAGTCCAGCTCCTTATCAATGGTTTGTCCTAGAAACATATTGAAATAAACTGAACATAGAATATTTGATATCTTTAAACACTTAAGGTATATGTATGAGCCCCATATTTGGCACTTTAAGGAACTGAAGAAGAACAATAGATAGAACAGCATGCTCGACTATTCTCAGTGCTTGATAGAAAAGAAACAAGAGGGCCACGATGGCCATAAATTCCCTCACCTGTATACAGGCCCCCGCAGCGGGGCCAATTTTAACCCAGGGGCTTTTATTTGAACAAACTTGGTAGACACTCACTAGAAGATATTTCATGCTTAGTATCTAAAATCTAGCTCTTTGGGTTTTTTAAAAGAACGTTTTTTCAGTTTTTACTATACACATACAAGGAAAATCAATGACCCCGGGGCAGGCCAATTTTAACCCCAGGGCCCTTATTTGAACAAACTTGGTAGACACCCATTAGAAGATGTTTCATGCTACATATTTTATCTCTAGCTCTTACGGTTATTTAAAAGAAGGTTTTTTAAGTTTTTACTATACATATTAGGAAAAACAATGACCCCCAGGGGCGAAGCCAATTTTGACCCCAGGGCTTTTATTTGAGCAACTTGGTGGACACCCACTAGAAGATTTTCATGCTTAATATCTAAGCTCTAGCTATTTGGGTTTTTTAAAAGAAGATTTTTTTCTGTTTTTAGTCAAATAAGGATAATTAATGATCCCCGGGGGAGGGGCCAATTTTGACCCCAGGGCTTTTATTTGAACAAACTTGGTAGACACTGACTAGATGATGTTTCATGCCAAATATTTTAGCTCTAACTCTTTCGGTTTTTTAAAAGGAAATTTTTTAGTTTTTTTTTCTTTTGGTTGCCATGGCAACCAGAGTACTCCATGGAATTGAATTCTTTGAACAATTTTTAAAGTTGGCTACCAAAGCAACATTCCTGTGAAGTTTGGATGAAATAGGCTTTGCGGTTTATGAGGAGATGTCGTTTAAAGTAAAAGTTTACGGATGGACGCCGGACGAAAAGCGATTACAAAAGCTCACCATGTCACTTTGTGACAGGTGAACTTAAAATAAGAGTCTGAATAATGTAAGGATTAACAAAGAGGAAGATTTCATTCATAGAATTACGTATAATGTACATGATATAATTTAATATGAATCTTTGAAACTGACCAAAGTATTTTAAGTTCACAAAAGGCATTATTTCATTCAATATCCATGCCAGAGTTACTGGTCTTGGAAAGTGACCATGAATTGCAATTCAAAAAGCTTAATCAAGTTTCAAGTGAATACAATCAAAGTTTTATGAAAGATTTATGTTGCAACTAAAAATTTCTAGATTCATAAAGCCTTAAGGGCCAAATTTCAGTCAAAATCTATGATAGAGTTACAGACCTGGGATAGTGACCTTAAATTATGATCCTTCAAACATGTATTAAGTTTTAAGTGAAAACCTTTAGTAGCTTTAAAGACTTTAGTAGTTTTAAAGACTGATGTTGAATACAACCCTTTATTTAAACTCAGAATTTTCAAAGTTCAGGGTCAAAATCCATGTCCGAATTATGGGTCTTTAATAGTGACTTCTCATCTGGTTATGTATTACATTTCAAGTGAACACCTTCTGAACAAGTAGTTTTAAATACTGAAGTTGCATGTCACTGGTTGTTAAGTTATAAGTTAGAAACCATTTTGACATTCAAGGACAATGAGATCTTGACCTTTGATCGACGTAAAATTCAATAAGGGTCATCTGCTGGCAAAGACTAATGCACCTGTGTGTTGACGGCTTATGGGTTGTTGATTTATCAGTTGCACTGTTGGAAACAATTTAGACATACAAGGTCAATGTGACCTTGACTTTTGACCCCTTGATCCCAAAATCAATAGGGGTCATCTACTAGCAAAGAACAATGCACCTGTGAAGTTTTAAAGTCAAGGGCCCATTGGTTGTTGAGTTATTGGTCTGAAACCTTAATAATAAGTTATTAGCGTAATATGTAAGATCAATAATACCTTGACCCCTAAAATTAATATCGGGCATCTACTGGCCAAGACCAATGCAGCTGTTAAGGTAAAGGACGAAGGGCCAATGGGTTGTGGAGTTAGTGGCAGGAAACCGCTCTACAACACATATATGGCACAAAGTGTTTTTAGGACATATCTACTACGACATACAAAATCAATGTGACCTAGACCCATTTAAACAAAATCAGTTCAGGTCATCTACTTGCCAAGACTAATTCACTTTTGGAGTTTAAGGTGGAAGGGTACATTGGTTGTCAAGTTACTGGTCGGAAACTGTTTTAATAGATCATTGTGATTATGGCCTTTGACTGCAAACACAATAGAGTCAATTTACTTGTCATGACAAGTCTTATTACCAGTTCCTAAGTATCAACATTATTAAGATATTGACTGAAAATGGTTTCGTCTAGGGATCAACATGTGCAAAACGGAAAAGAGTCAACTCGGCCCTATACCAACTCGGCACGGGTCAACTCGGCACGGGTCAACTCGGCCCCCTTTACAAAATATATATAACGTATTAACTTTGCTTTGCATGTTGTTACGGTAAATGACTAATAAGAAATATCTTATTATTATATAATTATACATTGTACTTCTGCCGAAATAAAGTATATTTAGAAAAAAAATTGTTATTTATTTGTCTTATATTTATAAACTCTCTCTGTTGACCTACGTAAATAACTGAGGTATATCAGTATGGAGTGAAAAAGCAAAAGTTGTTATCATTAGTTTCCTTTCGCTCGCAAAAGAATGCAAATTTAGCCGTGTTTAAATTGCTAGTTTAGGGCGATTAAATATCCGATTTTAAAATTTGTTACACCAATTAAAAGCTGGTGATCTTAGCTTTCTCTCAGTATATATTTCAACACATTGACACTGAATGTATTTAAATTTACGGTTAAACCTACCACCTATCACGAGTCAGATACGCAATCGGTAATCTTTCCTCGCAATTCTACTGATAAGAAAAGCCTCTGAAACTGTCAATCCGTGTTTTATAAATAATTTCATAATAACAATAAATAGTGATAACACAAACCTTAATATTAATAATTAAAAAGTGGGCCGAGTTGACCCGTGCCGAGTTGGAATAGGGCCGAGCTGACTCGGGGGCCGAGTACGTTTTAGGGCCGAGCTGACCCGGATTCTGCAAAACAATATACAGATCTAGCCTCACTTCACATAAGAGAACTGAACAATTTTCTCTATCAACTCCACTATATCGAACAAATTCTACTTTAACTTGTGTGAACAATGTTCTATAAAGAATAATAAGAAATTTTAAATTAAATAATCAGATAATGACACTGACAGTCTGACAAGACAGGTGGTTCTTCTGATTATTTTAAGTGGTACGAATCGTTTTTGGGATGAATCGTTATATGGGCGAATAGTCATATCTTCAACATATAAACTTTGGCTAAAGCTATAGTTTTTTATGCATGTTTCAGGACTTTTTCATATGAATCGGCATCTTTGAAAGCCTACCTCTAAACTTCTCATATTGTTGCAATATACTTGTAAAATATTGCTGCATTGCAATCTGCGACACGTCTCAAGAATTAAACAGCTGTGAAGAGTAGTCAACTGAACACAAATCAAGCAAAAGAAATTTTATATGCGAAAAGAGATAAAAGCCCGTTCTTCTATAAGGGTCAGGGTCTTTCAAATAAAAAGTACTGGCAGTACTCGAAAACAATGTATCTACCTAGCTTATGCCTAAAAAATATACAGTACAGTGTATATCTAAAGCAATCAACTGTCTTGGGTATGTGAGACAAAGTGAGTCTTGATTTGAATAATAGCTGGGACATACGATAATAGTGAATCACCAAAAATATATAAGTCTATAAAAAAAGTCTCTGAAATTTCAAGGTACATTAAAAAACTTGAATTATAGCTGGGACATAAAAATAAATAAATGTCCCAAACTTAAGGCAATTTCAAGGTTGGTATTTTTTTGCATTTATATATGTACTAATAGTACATGCGCATGTATATTAAATACCAACTTATTGGAAAAATGTAACTAACCATTACAAATATTATGAGGGGGGAAATAATCATGAGGCAGTATAGTCGTAATATATTTTGCCAAAGCTAGATTCTGAGATAGCTTTTTTCTGAGTCCTAGAATCTCACTTTATATATAGAAGGGAGATAATTGCCAATTTTTCAACGCCAAGTACTGTGAATATAACATGTGGTTGGACTAGACCCAGGAGAGCTCCAATTCACAATTCCTGGGTTGATAGGCTGTCTGCACCAACACTCATTCTCATTCATTGTAAACGAATCTGTAACTCCAATTACATATAAGTTTCATTTTTTTTTTGTGCAAATGAAATCGTGTCAGACTGGAAGTTTATACAACAATAACTTCTTCATTTTTATTTTATAAAATAATATGTTTTCTTTTCAGCAAGTAACAAGACTGCAAATGTGCCCTAAAAGTAGATTATAAGAAAGTTGTTTATCATCTGTTTTAAACCGCACACATGGTACAAGTTTCATAGCTGTACATCAAAGGACAAGAAAGTAGGCCACTTAATCAAAATATCTAGGTCAGCTTATATCACCTAAAACTGTGCATATGGTCCAAATTTCATAGCTGTACATTGAAGGACAATAAAGTAGGTCAATTTGTTAAAATATCTAGGTCAGCTGATATCAAAGTTCAAAAGTTGGTAAATTCGTCAATATCAAGGTCAGCTGATATCAAAGTTCAATTTTACATCTTAAACTTTGTACATGTTCAAAATGTCAATGCTATAGGAAAAAATAAGAGAATTTCATTAATTTAAGGTCAAGGTCACATCTTTATTATTCAATATGTTTGTTTGGCCACATGTCTTGTTTTGTTCAAGAATAAATCAAATAAGTAAATAAATAACGAAGGTATGACAATTAAACAAAACTCAATAATTTGACTTTCATGGTCAAGGTCATTGAAGCTCAATGTCAAGGTCAGTTCAAACTTTTACAAGGTCTTGTCCAAAGTCCAAAAGGTTGTTTTGTCCAAATATGAAGATAATCCATTGATTTCCTACCAAGTTATATTCAATTATAGCAAAAATCAGTGAAAATTCAACAATTTAACCTTCAAGGTCAATGTGATAAATGAGCAAAGGCAATTTTAGTTCAATATACATGAGGTCTTATTCTAAAGAATGTTATGTCTTAATATGAAGTCAATCCATTTAAATAACAAAGTTATAGCCAGTTAAGAAAAAAATGAAAATTTCAATTATTTGACCATCAAAGTCAATGAGTGAAGGTCTGTCTGGATAACTTGGAGATCTTTCCTAAAATCACTGTTATTTTCAAGTCTGAAGACATTCCCTTCAAAAATAACAAAGTTATAGACACTAGTATCAACAAGAGCCGGTTGAACCAGGTGATGCTCTCCAAGTAGGTTTTGGACACAGAAAAGTATACCTCTTGAAGTGTCAGAGTTATATGTCCCTGACAAAGTATCTACCTGCAAAGTTTCATGTTGATATGTGTTAAAATTTTAGAGTTATGTCCCGGACAAAGTTCAAAGTGTAAAAATAAACAAATGGCAATAACTCCAAAAATAGACAAGACAGAGTTAGTTATGATTCTTTTGCACTACACTTCTACCCAATGAGACCAATCTACCTACAAAGTTTCATGTTGATATCTCTCATAGTTTTAGAGTTATGTCCCGGAAGTGCAGTGTAAAAATGAACAAAGGGCAATAACTCCAAAATTAGGCAAGACAGAGTTATGGCTCTTTAGCACTGCACTTCTACACAATGAGATCTATCTACGTACAAAGTTTCATGTTGATTTGTCTTATAGTTTTAGAGTTATGTCCCAGTCAAAGTGAAACAATAAACAAAGGGCAATAATTCCAAAATAAGGCAAGGCAGAGTCACTGTTCTTGTGCACTGCACATCTACTCGATGAGATCTATCTACCTACAAAGTTTCACATTGATACCTCTTGTTGTTTCAAAGTTATGTCCCAGAGAAGAATTATGTGGATGGACAGACGGACAAACAAAGCAGCAACTATATGCTCATCCTTTGGGGAGCATAAAAATCAAGCAAAACTTGAAGGCCAAGGTCATTTATGAATGAAAGTCAAGTTTAGTCTTGTCTACTTGAAGGTCTTGTTCCAAGGGTTGCTGTTGGCAAAGTATGAAGATATACACCAAGAATTTAAAAAGTTGTGATCAAGGTTAAAGGTTACAGACAGCAGTGGGAATGTCGCCACGAGTGTAACAATACCTGTTTTTTTTTCCTTAAAAAAAGTGGAGGTAAAATCAATGGAGAGTTTTGAATTTTGATCCTGATCTTGTTCCAGATCTTTTGATCTTAGTGAACACAGTGTAAGGACTAGAATGTGACAGTTTTGGTAGAGGTCAACAAGATAAAACCCGCTACTCTAGGCCTTATTTTAGTTTTGTTTTATGGAAACAAGATTTCTGTACAGAATTAAATTTTTTGAAAACTTTTTGAAGTCTTTTTAACAAGACTGCTAAGTTAGATTGAAATCAGACTTGCAGTGTTTGAGAAGATTTTTGAACTTTACTACATAATCCATAAAACAAACAGTACTATAAAATCCATAAAACAAGAGCTGGTTGTACTGGGTGATGCTCCCTGAATAGGTTTTGGACACAGAAAAGTAAACCTCTTGTAGTTGTTATGTCCTGGACAAAGTTCAATAATTCCAAAATTAGACAAGGCAGAGTTAAAGTTCTTTGCACTGCTTTTCTACCAAAAGAGATCTATCTACCTACAAAGTTTCATGTTGATATCTTTTATAGTTTCAGAGTTATATCCTGAACAAAGTTCAAAGTGTAAAAATGAACAAAGGGCAATTACTCCAAAATAAGGCAAGGCAGTTATGGTTCTTTTGCAATGCACTTTTACCCAATGAGATCTATCTACCTACAAAGTTTCATGTTGATAACTCTTATAGTTTCAGAGTTATGTCCCAGCGTAAGTTCAAAGTGTTAATATGAACAAAGGGAAATAACTCCAAAATAAGAAGAGGCAGAGTTATGGTTCTTGTGCACTGCACATCTCCACCAAAAGTTTTTTGTTGAAATTCTTATAGATTTAGAATATGTCCCCGGGCAAATTCAAAGCGAAAAAAGAAAGGGGAATAATCCAAAATAACAGGGAGAGTTTTGGGCCCTTGTTTTCTGCACATCTACCCAAACCTACAAAGTTTCATGTTGATACCTCTTGTTGTTTCAAAGTTATGTACCGGACAAGAAAAGCTGACCGACAGACGGACAGACAAAGTGGCGACTATGTGCTCACCCTACTAGTAATCCATTAAACAAACAAAAACACACAGACATAAGTCTTACTCTAGTGGAAAATAATTCAAATATGAAAGAGAACTGACAGAAGTACAAAGAAATAAGGAGTCATTACATTTCTTACTTTTTAATACATATCAAGTACACAAAACATCATCAAAATGCTACAATAAATACAGGTGACTCTCTTAAAATGTATGCATTATACATGCACATGTATATGCATATCATTGAGTTAGCTTCTAAAAATATTCAGACAAGAGCTTGCTTTTATTTTTGATTTAAATTTTTGCTGTTGTTTTTAAAGTGGTTTTTAAAAGTTGATCCAACAATGTAAAGGTTAGTGATCGATGTCATCCCTGGACTTAAATCATCTATCCTAAAAAACATTTCCTAAATAACCTGCAGATTTTAAATAAAATAAGTTACTAAAGTACTTTTCCAAATGAATTTTGATTCACCATTAATAACAACATTTTGCAACCTCTGGTTATTGGCAACATATTCATAAAAACAATATTTTAATTTATGAATTCTAATTTATCAAGAACAACCTTGCTTTGTTAGTATGGTTGTCAGGTACAGGTTTGACTACAGATTCTTACAAATGCAAACTAAATTTCAAATATTCATTTAAAATTCATAAAGTTATCATATTGGAACATATGCATATATATACTGCATGTTGTACTTTAAGTTATAATTTCTTGCAATAAAGCAAAAATTTAATAAATCTTACTTCAAGTATTAAAGCAGCCTTCGCCTTTTCTAAAGGTTATTTTTAGATAAATTTCAAACCAAAAGAATTAAGGTGGAAAATGAAATTTGCCAACAATAAAATACATAAAAATGGAACACCTCATTACCTCTAATCTACAGGTCTACTCTCTATATTTAAATTAGTAAAGCATACAATTTGTTGCCTAACCTTCTATTTTTAGAAACAAACGTCAGTGACGCATTTTTAATAGCCCTTGGGATGCAGTTTTGAGGATGTCTTAACAGGGGCATGATGCCCTTTTCAAAGATGAAATTACTTGAACACTTGTTTGAAATAATACATATTTGTTTTTCCCAACAGAAAATAAAAGCTGAAAAACTTTAAAACTGAAAAGAAACAGCTCATATCAAAAATGAATGTTTAAATTAACCTAAAAATATATTAAATATAATTGTTTACATGACACAACATTAAGAAATAAAAACATTCTTTACTTTTAAATAATAGTCACATACATATTTTAGCTTAAGAATACGGTAACAACTTTAACCTTATTTTGCATACATAATTATTTCCATAAAATTCTTAAAATCTCAATTTTTTACAGATTACATTGCAACCAACACTTGAACACAAACAAAACAAGTACAGGAAAAAAAACAACATAAAAATAATCTTGAGATTCTGACTAAATGAATTTAAATTAGGAACTTGAAACTCTGAGAATTCATAAACAAAGCACAACATAAAAATGATGAGTTTGAACTGTTTTATAAACTGGGATAGGCCATAATATCGTATACATCAACATGGCCCACAGTTTTACAGATATATGAGCCGCGTCACGACAAAACCAATGTACTGCGTTTGCAACCAGCATGGATCCAGACCAGCCTGCACATCCGCACAGTCTGATCAGGATCCATACTGTTTGCTATCAGTTTCTCTACTTGTAAAAGGGTTTGTAAGCGAACAGCATGGATCCTGATCAGACTGCGCGTATGCGCAGGCTGGTCTGGATCCATGCTGGTGGCAAACACATTACGTTGGTTTTGTCGTGAAGCGGCTCATATTATTAATCTCTTGAATAAATGGGGAGAGGCTGCCAAGTGGTATCATAGTCCTTTCTCACAACAAAAGGGAAAATGCCGTTATATATACTTATTGAGGTTGCAACTATGCTTCCAAATAAAAATCACATTCTTCCTTGTTTGTCCAAGACGATAAGTTCACCTAAATGTGATTGACACAGACTTTAAAGTTTGGCTATTAAGTACAAATACAAGCAGAAATTCTAAACTAATTTAATGTACACTGTATCTCTATATTAAACATTTCAATAATCTCTTATAAATCTCTTCTATTTTAATCATAAATCTCACTAAATTCATGTTAAAAAAAAATACAAAAAGGTCCTTCAGTACAGCAATCTGTAGACTAAAGGAATTGCATAAATGATTTTTTTTTATATATCAACATGTAAATATAGCTCTCCTTTTGAGTAACTGCTTCAAATTTGATTCTTACATAAAATATCCTTGACAAGCACTAAAATGAGTATTAATTTTGTCTTGATTTGACAAAGCATTAGTCATTAGCTTAATGCATTAAATACTTGTCTTTCAGAGGAATCATCATATAGCTATGTTCCAGCTTTACTGATCAGGAAGACCTCTGGTGTCCTTCTGTGCATTATTTCAGGCAGGAATAGGCCCCTGAGTAGAACCAGCTAGCTGGATTGTTAAATGTTTCAATACAACAAATTAATATCATTAACAACATTCTACAAAAATATTGGATCAATATCTCTGATAATTGTGTACCTTTCCGTGCCACATACCTAAATTGGACTTGTCCATCTTTCAATCTGGACATGCCCATTCATAATTTTTAGAGAAAATTTCAAAATATGTACTGACTGAATAGCAAGCATTACAGACCATGATCTGATCTTGTTCTGCACCTGTGGCATATGTAGAATATGTCGCTGCCAATAGGGTAAAATTAAATAATATAATAATGTATCTATTTATCATACACACTTTTCCTTGCAATTCCTGAGTATTAAATCAATGAAAGATAGGCTTTGTGCAGCAGCTTAGATATTGATACAGTAAATATGTTAACATAAAACATCTGCATTGATCAATAGTGTTTTACACAGAATTATTTTAATTTGATTTTGTACAAAGCTATAAGCTTATCCTTCCTAGTGTCAACCAGTACTGTGCAATGACTGTAAAGTTTTTTGCTCGAGGAAACAATGACAAGAGTTTGAACCCATGCGACTAAGGGATCAATAAATTACTCGTCCAACATGTTAACCACTCAGTTATGCCGTCACTAAGTCTTAACAATCAGTATATAAAAAGAGACAACATTTGGCTATGAGGCCTAAAATTCAGACATGTAATGCATGATTAAAACATTCAAACTAACAACAACATACATAACACATTCTGAACACTATCAATATGGCTAAAATTTACTATTACAATTAAGCAAATGGCAACAATGAATCTACAATCCTCTACAAACTTTCTATCAATAAAATATAAACTTTTTAAAACAATATTTCTACATGCTTTGAAAACACACAAATTGAATATTTTACTATTACTTTATGATACATGTATCATCCAACGTATAGCTTTGCAAAGTTATAGATTTATTATTTAAATGGACAATTTTCTCCTGTGTGACAACATACTTGTGATAGAAAACTTTGTAACAAGACAGTTCACGTAAATCAGCTGATGAAAATATTAAAAACCTTCTCAATTTCATCGAAATTCATGGAAATTATCATTATTTTGTAACTAATAAAATGATTTAAAAAAAGAATCCAGCAGAATCACTGTTAAAAACAAAAGCACTAAAAAGTTTTTCAAACAAAAATGACACAATATCAATTAAAAACAGCAGAATAAAAAATAGCATAAAACTAAAGAAATGTTAAAACAGCACCATATAGATCAAGCAAATATCTTTAAAAAAAAATTCTATCATACACAAAGCCAAAATAAAATGAAATATTAGCAATATTAATATCTAGGTTTTATTAAGTTTTAAAAATTCAACAATAAACAAAATTTCCTATGAACACTCAAGGAATTACAGATTTTTATATTATAAAATACTGAGATTCTAAACAATTATGCAAATTACACAAGTAATACTGAATGCAGTGTGGCTTAACAAAAAAAAAACCCATAAAATATCTAGCTTATACTTCACATTCAATGATTTTTACAGGTAGAGTATTCTTTAACATAACTAACAAATATTTATTCTTTCACAACAATCAACATGACAAGAAAAATACTTTTACTATTGGTACAAAACAATAAGTGGGGTTAGGGGTATTAAAAACTTGTGTTTACAACAACCATATTGATTCCATACATTTACACTATAAAAATCATTGGCAGGTAAGATAACACCCAATATATCTATATTTTTTTCTTTCAAATCATTCAGATGTACACCTGCTGACCATAGGTGTGTACTTTCATTATGTGCCTAAAAAAGGGCAAGAAACATAGTACCCGGTATGTAATGTTTTTTTTTTTCAGTTGCTTTAATAATATAGTGTAAATCTATGGAAACAGATGCTTTGAATTGATGAACATTCTAAATTTTATGACAATTAAAATAATAATATTACTTTCCTGGGTCTGATTTAAAATTTATCTCTCTAGGCCTGGCAAGTTATTTTGAGATTCAATATTGATCACACATGATGGATGATAATGGATACTGTATTACTATTACACATGTTGTACAGTGTTGGCTGTTGATTTTTCACTAGGTACGGTTGTCTGTGGAGACACTGTCGTCTGCTTGTTCACAATATGGAAAGAGTTCAGTTTCCTTGTTTTTAGAGCCCACATCACACCTATTGTTTCCATACACATGGCAATTGGTAATACAGCAATAGGTATAAAGCACAGGAAAATATATTTTGCCCATCCTGTTCTCCTAGGAGAGAATGACATTATAGCCCCAAATATATAAAGGAACAACATCACAGCACCCATAAATCCACACAGGATGTTTACACTGCGCCACATTGGTAAAGGAAATAAAGGTACCAGTACAATGTTTGTAACTGTCAACGGCATAAAAAACCAGGCTAGTAACATTAAAGATATACCATACTTGTACTTGAATGGAATTTGTGAGCTAAAAAACACATTATATATACCTTGAACCCATCTTTTCCGCTGGTATATATAATCTAACGCAGAAAATGTACTCTTTTCCCACATGTCTCCTTCAACAAAACCAAACTGATGTCCTTCCTTCCAGGCTGTCAAAGCAAAGAAGCAATCTTCAGCTATACTGCCTTCAATACCAAAATCATAGGTGATCTGCCTTTCAATACCAGCATTAGCCACTATAAAACTTCCTTTCCAGCTAAACACAGGTTTGTGTAGATATTTCAGACAAAATCTAATCATTCCAAAGTCCATTCCTACACGCACTAAATCTGCAATAGTTGTCAGCCAACTGACAATGTCTTCGTTTGCATAAGTAATGACACCTTGTCCAAGATTATACTTTCCCTCATTGATAAAGTTGACAATACCTATAACAGATGATTCAGTGAGCAAAGTTTCCTCGTCTAAATGTACAATCCAATCATTGTCAGTGAGCATATTTACTCCCGCTTCTAGACAGTAGTTTAATGCTCTTGCCTTGTATCGTGTTTGATTTGTTGTGACATACTGGTTTGGAACAATGATCTCTCTCAAACGAGGCGATTTTGGTAAGTTGACTGCATTATCTGTCACTACCTCTATAATATAATTATCTAAACCAATTCTTGAACAAATTTCAACATTTCTCTGGACATTTTTTTTCACAAGGTCAGGGAATGTACCTCTAGTTACCACCCTGAAGCAAATAAATGGTCCAAACAGTGTTGACGTCTTCAACTTCGGTTTTGGCGGGTGAGTATTATAACAAAATAGTCCAAGGAAGTTGAATATTGCTTGTGGTATGGGAATGAAAGTCAGGAATCGTAAAGTGTACAGTATAACAGTTACAGCTGTTCCATATTCTAGGAATGGATCAAAGCCTGCCAAACGATCAGGTCCAACACCACCAGCCAGAACAACAAAGATAAGTATAATGATAAGTAACAATGCAATGGTCAAGATATGGAGCACATGTGGAAATGATTCCATATTTAACTGTTTTCTCTTCTAATCTCTTCTGGTTTCACAATTTTTATTTGAAATCTTCAGTTTTAATTTATGCCGTCTCACTGATTGTACATCTGAAATAGAATAGATATATATGTATAAGCTATATATATCCTAGTTATAGAAAATACATGGTTGATGATGTCAGGATGGAGAAGGTTTATATGGTGAGCCAGAAAGTACTTTGGCGAGCTTTAGCGAGCCAGGATTCACTTTCACAGTGAACCGAATAAACTTTCTACATCCCGACATCAACCATGTATTTGATTTATCCTGCTTTTTATCATGTTTTTAGAACAATTAAATAGTTTCATTCTTCATTTCCCCTATAAAATAGCATCTATATGCAGTTTTGTTTTGCTGCTAAACATGTGACGTCATCATGTGACGTAATGACTAGAGATAGATCAGTTTATCCGGCAAGGCATTATCCAGCTGATGATATAGACAGTAGTAGGATAAAAATCTATTACACATAGAAAGATGAAAACATTGAAAAGTAAACATTTCAATTGGTGCTATAAAAAGTCTGTTAAACAAGTACATGTATTATTTTGTATATATGAATATTTTATTTTACATTCATTCTCCTGGCATAAATCTGAACTTGTATGCTAAACAAAATACTACTACAACATGAAGATGATGATGAAGTCCATTTATCTATATTTTAAAATGAAATTTTCTAATAGAATTCTTATCAGAAAATATTTAAGTTAGCATAGTTAGGTTTGTAACACATTTTCAGATTCCGAAATTCCAATTTCATCCGATTTAAACATGTCCTGATAATACCAGTAACCCAACTGGGATATACAATAAAAATATGGATTACTGTCATCTGAAAGAAAGTTTTTAGTACCACTACATTATAATGTTAATGGGTGAACAATACCGATATGTACAGTCCAGATTCAAATGTCTAATTTTTATACAGAAATATACTAGAAATACATAATTATCATATTTGATATATTCCTGGTATTGACACTGTGTCTAATTTCCCCGTTATTCGTGAAATATCCGAAATTTTGTACGTCCGAAATCTATAAAAAGGTTACTTTCAAACAATGTAGTTACCAAAACATCAAACGTATATTGTGTATGTATTTTCCCTATTATCCTTTTGAAATCGTTTCTTAAAAGGTATAATAACAAAATTCACTTCCAAGACTTTAATCAAATCCGATATTAGGCCTAACCCCGCCCATATTTTACGGGAAGTTCAACTTCTCCACTGTGACAGTGACAGTACTCACGTGAATCATCAAAATGGATGTGTTGTGACTCATATTATCACATTATCGAGTTAAATAATACTACAAAGAAAACTGATTTTTCACCGTAATAAAAAAATAACGTTTTTTTTTACCATCGTATGCTTGACAAATAAAATCTATAATCAATTTATTGTTGTTAGCATCTTCATCTTCCGCAACAATGGCGGATCAAGGGAGCTAACTGCGTATAAGAGTTCTTTTAAGGCTGGCGCATACCACAAAGTAAATCTATATTAGATAAAAAAAATAATACAAAAAGAAATCTACTCGATATTTGAAATAATCGCCTTTGAACAGAATTCATGTTTTATAAATGAAAACTTGTTAATTTTCAAAATACATTTTAAAATTTCATATTATATTAGTTACAAAAGTCACAGATAGGGCAGGCCTATTTGCAAAATAAAGTAGTTATACACACCAAAATATACAACATCCAAACTTGTATTGAAATCGTTAATTCAAAATCTTACACATTTTATCCGCAGGAATCTAAAAGATATTGTTATTTTATTATCCATTTTGTCACATATATATATTATCAAGTAAAGTTCTTTAAAGGTCCAATCTGTTCATTGTCTCTGTCCCAATAAAGTTTATACCAACAGTACAAGTGTTAAGGCCTTCATCCGGTTAATTGAATGGAAGCATCACTGGCCACGGTAATTGTTGCGGATGTCAGATGTGAAGCCGATAAACATGACATAAGATTTTATCACATCCCCCTGGTTAGATAATCCATCGATCCTAAGTGGCCCTATTGTTATTTTAACGGGTGTGACAATAAATGCTATCGGGAAAATCATCGATAGCTATCGATTAGAAACGTATCTTGCCTGCTGCACAGTAAATGGTCCAATTGTGTTAGCATCTAAGTCACAAAATAAAGTTAAACATACAAGGGGATATTTGCTTTTTTAAGAACCTTAGGATGTCTGTAACAATATTTTTAGAAAGAAAGGATAAGTTTTTCTTTTATCAAAATATTACATCTTATGTGGACTGTGTGGGTAGGGGACGGATATTACAAAGATATACTAAAGTCTGAATATCTTAAAATTTATAATAAAAATTGTATTATTTCTCTTTATTTCATTAATATATTATGTATTCTGCTAAGTGTCACAAAACTTTTCAGAAAATTCATCTAAGATATAAAAATATTTGCTTTCAAATTGTCAGTATTTTCCCCGCAAAATTAAATGTTATAGAAACCAAGTTAAAAAAAACAAGGATAGGTACACCAAATCATACTTAAATCAAATTTGCAAACACATTTCTTATAAAACAGTAAAAATTATAGGACTTTTTTACGTATATTTCTTGTCAGATAATCCAGAAATGCATTGTATTAGGGGGACGGGTATACATTTTTGAGGGGACGGATGTTACACTAGATGTTTAAAGTTCACAGTTCATACTTTTTTGGTTTTATTTTAAAGTAATAAAATTTCTAATAGTATTATGCTTTGTATAGTACAATAAATGTAAAATAATTGAACAAATTATGAGAAAAATGTAGAAATATTCCCGACAAGTACGGAGTCGTTTCTTCCAGTTATCTTACATTTGAATGAACATTGAAATGTTTGGATTAAAATAAGTGCATTGCTAATGAAATAAAGAATCATTGTTTCCAGATAATGTATTAACATTGTGTTAACCTTTTCCCTGATATAGACGTGTTTTGACGGCTTTTTGTCCCCCCCCCCAAATGCCCTATTTAGGCCCCAAGCACTGTTTTTCGTTTCATGTAGCTCACCAAAGAATGGCTATAGTCCTTCAGATAATTGTAAAAAAGTTTATAGATTTATTTCCTGGTTTAGGCCTGAAAACGGGACGCGTGTTTTTCTCAGAATGCACCTACTCGGACTTTTTCCAACACATCACAATAACAACAATACAAAGAAAAGTACCCTAAAACTGGTTAGTACATCCCAGCCTAAAATCAGAAACAGAAGTATAAGCTTTCATTAAAACATTTAAATACTAGCTATAACACCATATTCATAAATTTATTGGTTGAAGTATTGTCACGGTTCAGAACTGTTCACTATTTAGGCCGGGGAGAAGATGTGTAAGCGGTCGGTAAAGCCGCGGTACGGTATTCTGAGGGTCCCGGGTTCGAGTCTCGGTCAGGCTGCACATTTTTCTCATCCTGTCAATGAGGAAACGTGACTGGATATAGTTCAGAGTTCAATTAGCATTGCTCTGTAACCCTTAAAAATTCGGGGACGAATTTCAATATAGCAGGGGAGTAAGTCGCGGCCAGATAGCTCAGTCGGAAGAGCCGCGGAACGGTAGTCCGAAAGTTCCGGCTTCGAGTTCCGGTCAGGATGCACATTTTTCTCACCCTGTGACATAATAATACTCACTATTATAACAATTTCGGTGAAAGTGGAATTTCCAATGTTTTTGGTGAAATGTTAAATCCTAAATTTGCAAAATGTTTATATATTATTATATTAATATGAAACGTATTGTATGGATGTTTGTAGCCTATTGTCGTTTTCAAAAACTTGTTGTAAATATATCAAAATCAATGTCCACTTCAAGGCATATTATGCCCCAGAAATGCATTTTTTTCTATTTATAAAACGCTTTTATTTTTTATGTCCTCCTATGAAATACAAAAAGGTTACTCACTGGCCAATTACCTATACCATCTTAAACACATTTCGCCTCTTGGAAAAAAAATAGTACAGTTACAATGATTAAGTATTTTGTAGGGAAGTCATTTCGCTTCTTTTATGACAAATATTGTCACATTCAGCACTAAGTTCTTCTTGCGATAAGCATTTAACATGGCTATTCGTTTTTCTAGTCGCAGACATGTCTTTGTATTAGGTATCTTTTTCCGATCAGTTTTGAAATACAAGGGAAGTATAATGCTTTCAAAGCTTGCAAGAGAAGTGTGCATGTATTCAATATTTGCATTTTACTATTTTACATTTTGGAACGCTTTACACTTTGTTTACTATACATATACTGTACGAGTATATTTGTTTATTTACCAAAAATATGACTATAATCTATAATGACTTTGTAAATTATGTAATGTGCTATTTGTGAAAGAATAAAGCTCCTCCTTCTTCCTCTTCTTCTTCTTCTTCGCAATTATTACGTGTAACCTTATCAACTGTAAGCTGTTCATTTGCAAACTTGTAATATTTAAATTTTGTTTATGTACCATTTAGTGTAAGTGTAATACGGTAATTTTAGCTTATGAAAATAACTTTTTTTGGATGAAATGTAGAGCCCGCTTTTTCTAGTGAGGAACGTATACAAATACTTTTTTTCGTAAAGTGAAAACGTGTGAATATTTGAACGTTAACTTAAACACGCGGTTTTATAATTGAAACTAATGCATCGCTTATTAAGCTTTAAATCATAAGAATCAGTCTACAAAAATTGTTATGCGCATGCTCTGCTTCAAAATACGACTTAATCGAAAAATAAGCATCGCAGTAAAATCGAAAAAAATCATTTACGTTACTTAACACTACGAGCAATATGGTTCATTCCGTTTTTAATCCTTTAAACTGTATTAATTGCTCCGCGCCCACAGTCGCGGAGCTATTTGTGTTAACTTTTCCATGGACCCGATTTTTATCAATTAATCCCTTCGATTTACAGCTAAAAATAAAAAAATAAATTCGGATTCAAGAATTCCTTCTGATTTCTATTATGTAAAGGCATATATTGGTTTCCCCTTCGGTGATATTTATGAATGAGAACGGTGTTTAGCGGCAAAACAATAAATAATCTAAAATTCGGTTTTTTTTTTCTTACTTTTGTATTTTCTAGAGGAAATTACTTAATATTTTGTAGTATTCAGTTGGTTATGTATGTACATGAATTCGAAAACTATAAATAAATGACATAGCAAGTCCGGAAATCTATAGAATTAGAAGTTGTAGTTTAAGTCTGAACGACACAGTCATTCGTGTCTCGCTATGGTAATAAATAACGAACTGGAGAATTTTGCAGGAAATAAGATGCAAACATATTCACAATAGATTGCAGCCTTTATAGATTTATAAATATTATAATTTTTATAATATTCAAACAACAGAAACTTTCGTCTGCAGTTTTAACATGAGGTGTTATGGGTTTATTGATAGGAATGTAAACACACTGGTGGGTCAGACGAGGATTTTGAAGCAATTCAACAAAAAAGGAGATTGATCTCCAAATAAATCAGTTAACAATAGCCCTTTATTTATCACCAATCTAAAGTAGCTTTTATATACATCTTTGATTCCACGAACATGATGCAAGTGAATTTTCCCATACCTGTCTAAATTCAGGTAACAGTCTTCCATAATAGTGATAAATAATGTTTCACCATATAACCTGTATAACAAAAAATCCTGAATTTGGTCTTTTTGAAATTCATATAAAAATTCATTCCAGTGTGTGTTCTACTTTCAGTATTTATCTGGGACTTGAAATATAACTACTGTATCTTAAGTTCCAGGTATTAATAGAAACCATTTTCTTTTAATTTGACATGAAAAAAATGCATGTAATATCACTATAGTATTCCCTTTTGTTACTATTTTATATAGTGTCTGTATATTTGTTACAATTATAATAATAAAAACTGACTTTGTTCATTTTGACTACTGTTTTGTATATTCCAAAGAAAATACATTTAGTATTATAATCTCTAGCAAGCCTACCACAGTAGAACAATGTCTTTCGTCCGCCCATTTATCTATAATATGCAATTCTGGTTAAATCCATTGACAAACTTATAAGAATAACTGGTCATCAGAATGATGTCTTCTTGTTCATCGTCTTTTGACGCATTTCTTGCTTGGGCGCTCTTTGATGCTTTGCATCAATGTTTTTCTTGTTATATCATGATATACCATTTGCCGCGAAACATGTTAAAGACATTTTGAATGTAAATGGAAGTTGTTTTTTTTTTGGCTTATTTACATATGGATTGTTAAATTTCTTACCATGATTAGTTGTTGCTATTCGTAAGAAAAGAGTAGCATTATAGGTGAAAAATAAAATGTACATGCTTTGCTATTTTAATCATATAATATTACTGTCAACAGTAGTGACACAAATAGAACAATGTTGCACTACTGTCATATCACCTTACATTTACAAAGTCTTGTAAGCCTTGTTTGTATTGGAATTAGGGATTAGTGAAAGCATTTTTTTTTAATTTGATATCTGGCTCCTCTCTCATGGACAGTGCATACGATAAGTATAATTATGCAAAAAACGATTTACAAAACATCCAGAATAATCTAAAATAGTACTTATTCTGAATAGAACATGACCTGTGCGTAGGATGATTTGGTAAGGTATCTATAATGAGCGCATTTTTGCGCTGAGCTTCCCAATGCAGCAACATTTGTTCTTTTTATTGATTATTGTTTTCTGAATAGCGTTTTACTATCTAATGTTCAAAAAAATAGTAACCGTGAACATTAATTATTGCTACAATATCACCATGCACTTTTTATATGAACGAGTGTAACGAAAATTTGCTGCTCCCTTGACTTTTGAACCGGTATGGCTAAATTACGGAACAGAGATTTTTTTTTGCGTAAATGGCGCAAATAACACACAATTTTCTTGAAATATTGTGGTTGAAGGCATGCAGCTGTACATATTGTTTATTCCAATCAAATGATATTTACATTTTCAATTAAAATCAGGAACTTAAAATTGTTTGATTGACATACTTAATGCCCGTTTTGGAAAATCTCTTTATGCAAAAATATCTCTAAATATCTTTGAAATAAACAAATATTCAACAGCTGCCAAAAGACCTCTCGCATGCTTCTTTTTTTTTGAGAAGCAAACTTGTTGAATTTAAGGCGGAAGTTGTTAGCCGTTTGTACATACACATGTATAACAAATTGGACAAAATAGACTGAATACTTGGAATCGAAATAAATACGGAAGGTAATTATTCTTCACTGAAAATCACTGACAATGTCGTTGCTGCAAGAGGTATATTTTTATATGTCGTTTTATCTAAAACATTTAATCTATCAATTTATTTATTCATTTATTTATTTATTTATTTATTTATTTATTTATTCATTTATTGAATAAATTTGTTTCATTCATTCGTTCGTTCGTTCGTTCGTTCGTTCGTTCGTTCGTTCGTTCGTTCATTCATTCATTCATATTTATTTAATGTCTTTCTTTCTTTTTCTTTTTTTTCTTTTCTTTTCTTTCTTTCTTTCTTTTTTCTTTCTTTCTTTCTTTCTTTCTTTCTTTCTTTCTTTCTTTCTTTCTTCCTTTAGTTATTTTATTCATTTAAGTATTTTGTGATCATTTATTCTAATACTTTAAGTGCTGAGGTTAATGCGGTAATTAAAAGTTAATAAGACTTGATTAGATACAACAATGCCCACACATCGATGTGTTTCAACTGTTCTAAAGTTTACAAGTTCAGCCTTTTAGGCCGACGAGTGCTCAAAATCAGGATTACATAGTTGCTGCGGCTATATCCAAATATCTTTGAAATAAACTAATATTCAACAGCTGCCAAAAGACCTCTCGCATGCTTCTTTTTTTGAGAAGCAAACTTGTTGAATTTAAGGCGGAAGTTGTTAGCCGTTTGTACATACACATTTATAACAAATTGGACAAAATAGACTGAATACTTGGAATCGAAATAAATACGGAAGGTAATTATTCTTCATCCGCGCTGAAAATCACTGACAATGTCTGTTGCTGCAGGAGGTATATTTTTATATTTCGTTTTTTCTAAAACATTTAATCTATCAATTTATTTATTTATTTATTTCTTGAATAAATTTGTTTCATTCATTCATTCATTCATTCATTCATTCATTCATTCATTCATTCATTCATTCATTCATTCATTCATTCATTCATTCATTCATATTTATTTAATGTTTTTTTTTCTTTCTCTTTCTTTTTTTCTTTCTCTTTCTTTCTTTCTTTCTTTCTTTCTTTCTTTCTTTCTTTCTTTCTTTCTTCTTTCTTTTTTCTTTTTTTTTTCTTTCTTTCTTTCTTTCTTTCTTTTCTTTCTTTCTTTCTTTCTTTCTTTCTTTCTTTCTTTCTTTCTTTATTTCTGTCTTTCTTTCTTCATTTAGTTATTTTATTCATTTAAGTCTTTTATAATCATTTATTCTAACACTTTAAGTGCTGAGGTTAGTGCGGTAGTTAAAAGGTAATAAGACTTGATTAGATACAACAATGCCCACACATCGATGCGTTTCAGTTGCATGAAATTATCATTTAGCCTTTAAGGCCGGCGAGTGCATAACATCAGGATTACATAGTTGCTGCGGCTATCTCCAAATATCTTTGAAATAAACAAATATTCAGCAGCTGCCAAAAGACCTCTCACATGCTCCTTTTTTTGAGAAGCAAATTTGTTGAATTTAAGGCGGAAGTTGTTAGCCGTTTGTACATACACATGTATTACAAATTGGACAAAATAGACTGAATACTTGGAATCGAAATAAATACGGAAGGTAATTATTCTTCACTGAAAATCACTGACAATGTCGTTGCTGCAAGAGGTATATTTTTATATTTCGTTTTATCTAAAACATTTAATCTATCAATTTATTTATTTATTTATTGAATAAATTTGTTTCATTCGTTCGTTGTTCATTCATTCATTCATTCATTCATTCATTCATTCATTCATTCATTCATTCATTCATTCATTCATTCATTCATTCATTCATATTTATTAATTTCTTTCTTTCTTTCATTCTTTCTTTCTTTCTTTCTTTCTTTCTTATTCTTTCTTTTTTTCTTTCTTTTCTTTCTTTCTTATTCTTTCTTTTTTTCTTTCTTTATCTTTCTTTCTTAATCTTTCTTTCTTTCTTTCTTTCTTTCTTTCTTTCTTTCTTTCTTTCTTTCTTTCTTAATATTTCTTTCTTTCTTTTTTTCGATGTGTTTCAATTGTTTAAAGTTTATAGGCATTTGATTATCATTTAGCCTTTAAGGCCGACGAGTTCTCAAAGTCAGGACTACTTAGTTTCTGCGGCTATAGATTTTGGTACGGCATATTCCGGTTGGGCCTTTTCCACAAGACACGATCACAATAAGGAACCGCTCAAGGTAATTGTAACTTTAAAGCACCGAGTTTCTAGCACTTTAACAAATTTTTGATTTTGATGTGTTATATTAATAGCATTTTGCAACACTAACGCTTCAACCATAATATGAAAGTTGATATGATTGTTATATTGATATTTCGGTGGTTTTCATAATACATGATATATAGTGATATGATTTGAAAGGAAGCAATGTTGAAAATAATTACTAACATCCAAATTCAAACTTGACTAATTCATTATACACATTTAGCATGAAAGAATTAATGTTTGTAACAACCGAATATGAACCTCAGACGAGTTTGTAGGTAAGTAATAATTATAAACATAAATAAATAAATAGTTAAATTAGTTGTAACGTGACAACTTTCGAATAATTATAAAATCTGAACACCTATACGTGTCAGACGTCTAAATTCTATAAATTCTCTATATACATTTTCTAAAATGTCGCACATGATAACTGTAACCTCTGTTATTTATGCAAACATTGTACAAGAAATAGTGTTTAGACTAGATGAAATTGTAAATTAGATCTTCGAAAAAGGGAAACAATGCTAACAGATTGTGAAGACAAAATCTGACGTTGTTCTTTATTTAGGTATGGTCCAGCACATTGACTGCCGGAAAACTTCTGTCATTGGAAATATCTACGATGTATTTACTATTCATTTCAAAATACATATAGTTCTATTTATTTATCCAAAAAAGCCAGATTGACCATTAGCTCTTATATCATCACAATGTATTTATAGACTGATATAAAAATATGTATTCTTCATTAAGGTAACAGCAAACACATGGGTATCCGGGAATCTAATGTCATTGAAGACACCCACATGTGTACTCTTTGACCAGAACAAGAAATTCCATTCGTTTGGTTTCGATGCTGAAGAAGAATATTCTGGCCTAGCACTTGACAACAGACATGGCGATTACTTCTTCTTTCGAAGATTCAAGATGAAACTCTTTGATAAATTGGTAGGTAATCTCCTGCAAAAATGAAAAGGACAGAAACAAAACTTGGTTGAGTAAATACCATACTCTCTCGTTCTTAATATGTACTTAATGAAAAGTATATATTAATCAATACATGCTTTATAGTTGATATAATAACTTCAGTGTAAATTCACGATGTTCTCTTTGTCAGTATAAGTCTTATTGAATGATGATTTATTTGTACACGCAATTTCGACGGATTTTTGCTTGCTTCTGGTGTTATCTGATATACCTACATTTAGCGCTTTTTTATTTACGTGACCTAATTGGAAGAAGTACAAAACAATTTATAAGTTTGAATAAAATATAGTATAGTGAACCAAGGTTATTCTAGCTGCTAATAGAGGATATTCAAGTTTTTTTCCTATAAATACATGATTAATTTTCATCGAGTGGTATGACAATTTTCATGCTAAAAGATGAAAATAAATCATGTATTTATATATATAAAAAAAACATGAATTTTCTGTTTATTATATACATATCTCTCTTTTTCGACAATTTGAAAGACTTTCCTTTAATTTTTGTGTACTAGCAGAATTTAAAAGAAAATAGTTCGGCAAGTCACCAGTGAAAATACGTAAAATATGTTTCAATGCAGTGAAAAATAACTTTTTACAGTGAAAAATAGGGAAAATGAAAATACATAAAGTACATGTGTATATAATAATAATTTATTTAATAGGTAGAGCTACATGTATATATAATTATTACTAATTATTACATTCATAGTTGTGTTTTGCAAACTGGGATATCTGTAAGAAGTTGTGAAACTTTTGAGCTGTTATCAACTACAGTAATATTAATTAGATTTCATGAAAAAAAAACTTAACAAAAAAAGTAGGCTTTAATTGTATTGTTAAGGTTACAATGTTCTTTTAAACGTTAATATTAAAATTAAAGCTAAATTTGTAGTATGTATAGATTTAAAACTAGAGCAATAAATATGTTTAAATCTAAATCTAGAGCAATGTAGCTAAGGTACTCGTGAGCAATGTGTAATCTGTTTTGAGACTGCATGCCAAAACAAAACATATACTTAAAATGACTTTCTTGTAGCATCTGAAAAGAAAGTTTATGTTGGAAGATGAAATGGGAAGAAAAATGCCGGCAATGGATGTATTCTCAAATTCTATAAAGTATCTGAAGGATCATCTCACGCAGAAATTATTACAACAACTACCAGACACGTTGTTGGACAGTGAAATCCGCTGGGTGCTTACTGTTCCTGCTATTTGGAATGATACCTCGAAACAGTTTATGAGAGAAGCTGCAGTTAAGGTGAAATTGATATCCGAGATTTTCCTTATATATCTAAAAGGGTAGCAAAGTATGATAGCTTTTCAAATACACATCATACATACACCGTAAACAGTTTCTGCTTTGTGATTAAATTTACCGCTATATACGCAAATGAATAAATAGTTAGATTTGCTATAATGTCGTAAAATTATAAAATCTAAACTTCTATACGTTATAGACTTAAACGATCTTAATAATCACAGAAAGTAATGTTTAATTGAAAATTAACCTTCTAACAATCTTAATAGAGAATTTCTTTATGAGCAGGAAATAACTGAAATGTTACTTTTGTAGAGATAACAAATGGTTAAGCTTTAAAATGAAATATTAAAAAGAGTTGGTGAAGTCTTCTGATAGAAATGATAGTGACATGATTATGAAATTTTGGTAAAAGTTAATTACTTAGTGCAAATTTCTCTCCTTTTTGCATGGTTATCATCTACAGGCCGGCATTTTGGATGAACACTTATTGATTGCTCTAGAACCGGAAGCAGCAAGCTTGTGTTGTCGACATTTGCCGATGAAAACGATTGGTGCTGGTTCTTGCAATTTTGAAACTTTTGCGCCTGGTTCGAAATATGTGGTATTTGATGCTGGTGGTAAGTTTTATGAACCGACCTACATCTGAAGATGAGAAATTTATGTGAATAATATATATGCAATGTACTTGTTCAATAACGAAGTTTTAGAATATCCACATCTGGGCAGTTTCAACAGATATCATGAGATATTATATTAGAAACTGTCCTAACAATTTCGCTAAAAATGTCCCAAAATGTTTAATACATATATTTCTATTCATCAATTTTACGAGTTGTGAGAGCTTTAAATATTTCCGTCACATTTGCAGTTTTTTTAAGATATGTTGTTACGTTTTAAAACATTAACGTTTTATTAAGTTATCAGAACATGGGCATTCTTTTCCAGGTGGTACTGTTGATATTACAGTTCACGAGGTCCAGCCGAGTGGGTCCCTAAAGGAACTTTACAAAGCGAATGGAGGAAATTGGGGTGGGACATTTATCGACAAAGCTTTCAGAAATCTCCTGGCTGATATAGTAGGCAACGATGTTATGGACAACTTCCAGGCAACTCAGATGATGGATTATATTGATCTATTTCGAGAGTTTGAAGGCAAGAAGAGAAACTTTAAGAATGAGATGACAGGGAAAATAACATTCAAAGTTCCCCTTGCACTGGCTGAAGAATTCAAACAAAAGAAGGGAAAGGAAATCAAAGATCACATAAAAAACAATCCCATGTATGAAAATAGTATCTACATGTTTGGAGAAAGGTTACGAATTGAAGCACACGTGGCAAAGGGTTTATATGCAGACGCATGCAATAGTGTTGCCGAGCATTTAAAGACCCTTTTTACGGAAGATCAAGTCAAAGATGTTCCTACAATTCTAATGGTTGGTGGGTTTTCAGAGTCACCTATGCTACAAGATGTCATAAAGAGAACGATGCCAGACAAGACAATCATAATACCAGCAGATCCGGGCCTTGCAGTTCTCAAAGGGGCTGTTATTTTCGGCCATGATCCATCTGTCATACAGGAACGACGCTGTCGATACACATACGGAGTCAGATCTTCTCATCGATTTAATGAACGTATCCATCCAGAGTCGAAGAAATTTGTTGACGATGACGGTGATATTCTCTGTTCTGACATATTTGATAGGCATGTCCAAATTGGGCAGCGTGTTGAATACGGGGAGAGTCAGGTTACACAATCGTATGTACCAACTTCAAAAAGCGCAAAGGCAATGGTATTTCAAGTTTATGCTTCTGATGAGGCAGAACCGAAGTTTGTCACGGATCCATGTTGCACACATCTAGGTAATCTTACTTTTGAGCTAGGCGGTTCAGGAACGGATAGGTCGGTGAGTGTGCAAATGACGTTCAGCGGAACAGAGCTTAAAGTAGAAGCAGAGGAGAAGAGTACTGGTAAGAAGACAAATGCAAAGTTTGATTTTCTTGGCTAATTCAAAGAAAGAGAAAAAGAGAACAATAATTATGATTATTTTTGATATAAAACGTGATATATATTATATATTTAACTGTTTGTATATAAAGCGAACTGACACTTTTTTGTATATTACTTATTGGATTGTGAATGACCTTTATTTTACTAATTTAGTACTGTCTATTTTATGTTTGTGTGAGTTTTTTTTACATTAGATATGGTATGATTCCTGGTAACTTACTCACACAATTAGAAAAGCTTACACATAAAATGCATATATTTAGTAAAACTCGGGATATAATAATTACAGCATAATTATATTTAATAATAATAGATATGTTTGTAAATATATTCATAAATATGTATCATATGTATTCTGTGATTCTAGAAAATGACTATTTATAAGCATTTACCGTAAAAGCAATTTAGTATATTTCTTAGTATTAATGATGCAATCAATCAGTTTTCTCTGTTAACTTTTCATTCCTTTTTGTAAGATAATTTATTATATAATATGTGTGTTTATTATTTTAACTTTTAGAAATTATATTGTTTGGTGAATACGTCTGTTGTTATCTTTTCCTTAAAAATTCCATTTCTATTCTCTATTTTTAGCTCGACTATACTAAGAATATGGAGAGCTGTACTACTCGCCCCGGCCCCGGCGTCCGCATCCCGATTTCAGATTAAAGTTTTGGTGCAGTAAAATATTTTTCACTATAGCTTCATTTTCTTAAGGTATCAACTTCAATCTTCAAATATATGTTCCTTTTCATCAACCACATCTTATGTGACAAGGTTCATAACTCTAGCACCAATATTTTTAGATTTATCTCCCCTTGAAGTTAGAATTTTCCTTAAAAATTACTATTTTTTACTGTTCCTTCTTTATTTCTAAAGGGATCAACTTCATACTTCAATTATATGTTCCTTATCATCAACCACATCTAATGTGACAAGGTTCATCACTCTAGCACCAATATTTTCAATTTTTATCTCCCCTTGAACTTAGAATTTTCCTAAAAAAACTTTTTTTTGCTCACTTTTTCAAACCTGGAACTTCAGGGTAATTTAGATACAGATATTTCGGCAAAATTTCCTTGAAACAAATCTATATATTGACGAAACAATTATCTTTTGCATGATACTATGGCCTTAATATTGTGTTTAATAAATAAAGTCTATCGGCCTAGAGAAACCGGGTCACACTAACACGGTGCCTATACCATGTGACATTTTATGATATTATGATATGCATGGAGCAAAATAGCCTACCTCATTTGCAGGTAAATCTCAACACTGTCGAGAGGTCTGATGACCTCTCCAATCAGAAGAGCGTCAGAGGTGGGGTAATGTATGCTCTAAAGGATATAATTTTCCAAATAATGACTTTTTTCAATACTTATTTGCCCGAAACGTTGATTTTGTATTAGATTTGCTGTCAAAAAGGCTAAATCACCCTGTGAAATAATTCATTATCTGACCCTTGCTTTTATAAAACATACTATAACATACTAAACATCTATTCAATTTTCAACGCTTTTCAAAAGAGTTTTCCTTAAATGTGTTCTTCAAGGGTCAAATGTGTCACTGAACTCGGCTTAAAGATGTTCAATCAGCGAGAAAAGCAGTTCCCGATGCGACACAATACCACACTTGTAGAAAAGCTTAAGCAGTCGGCGACATTTTCATATTGCCACCAGGCTTGCAGTATACATTGTGTAGACACAAGTACATATGGCACACACTTTCATCAATAAGGCTTTGAAAACACGATAGCAAGTCTAAGCTTTGAGTTAATGTCTTATTTCTTTAATTTTGCCCTCCCCCTTCCCTGAATTGTGGACGTATTAATCAATCTATTTATTTATTTGTTTCCTTTGATTTCTTTGTCGGTTACTATTATTTCTTCTTATGTATCATTATAGTGATTAGCCTGTCCGTGCTCTGCCTTGTGTCCTGTTTTTGTTTGGGTCCTACTAGGCTCCTTGTGGGTCGTGTGGGTTGCGTTCATTGAACGCAATCTTTCATTGTTGATCTTGTTTATCATATTTGACTTTGAAATAGGTTATAGCAATGCAATTAGTTCAATAGTACTAGTGTCGTCCAAAATCAATGTGCTTTGTTTTCACGTGTCTTAATTGCTTTTTTACCGTAGCAGTTATAGCCACTAGTCAGTCAAATTAAGAGTTGGTTTTACCATTTTTGTTCGGAATTTCATTTCCGTGCGGAAATTGCGTGATAGAAGACATGGATATTCTTACTATGGTTGAATAGATTTAAAAAAACAGGCACTTTTAGATGGTAAAAACGTTATTTTTTGGACATCGATTGACTTGAAGATTGAAAAACATTTCTTAAATCCGTATTTAGTTCTACATATGAAGTATACATCTATTATATCTAGTTTTATGCAAGGAAATTTGTCTTCCTTGCGCTTTGAAATCAGGGCATTTGCTACTACATGTATATAGTGACACTTATTATTTTCATATTCTTTTCACTATATATAATACATGTTTTTCGCTTACAGATCCCGTAACACAAAATTTTATGGTTTTATATCATATATACGATGCTCAAATTAAGATTTATCAAAATTGTAAGTTCCAAAAGCAGTATTTATAAAGACATTACCGAATTTAACATTTCATATAAATAAGGGGAGGTAATTAGAAGTTTATTTTCTATAAAGTCTTAGTCAAAGTTTGCAATAAGAAATGAATGCATATATTGCAATGATTACATATTATATGCACAAATATTTGCAGTACATATTTTACATATTCTTCGATGTTTGACAATGGTTTTATAAGCATAATTATATAAATATAAAATTTCACTTAAGTGTGGTAACAACTCATTTACAACATACAGATGTATGTATATACACTACACTCGCGTACATTATGTTTTTCATAGTTACGTACATGTATATGAATATCCTTTCGCTTACATACATCTTGTTGTTTGCTGCTGCATATGCTTTCACCGATTATCTTTATTAACTAGTTGTTATTTTGCCGAAACCGCATATATCCGTACATGTCAAGGAAAAATGCAAACAATTTATGGTAAAGATGTTGATTCAAAATGGCAATTCTGACTTCTCAACAGTTTGATTAATTCTCTTTTATTGCAATTTCCCTTGAGCCATGGAATGCGTATCACCCAATATTAAAGAAACATACTGTATCTCATTGTGCATTCGTCGTGATAAGTGACTGGGATTTTTTGACGTTGGTCAATCTTCTATTGATTACATTATGATTTTGTTTAAAGCACAACACAACACTGTCTAAATTTACCTTTATATTAGTCGTAATCACACATGCGTCAGACAATTAAAGGTTCGGTAAACTGTTCTATAATTCAAAGAAAATAGATAAAATAATTTATTTATTTGCATACGTTTTTTTTTATTAAAATACAATGTAGATGTACATGTACCATTAAAAGAACTCAATTTAATCAGGTAGAAGTCAACACGTTGTTGTAAGCAAGTGTGAGAATTATATCATGAATCACCTAGGATAAAGCACAACACACATAGTTTCAGTTAATCTGGCAATTGTTATATATACATGTAGATACAGAAGATGTGCATCACCATATGTAAAATTAGCCAAGAAAATCAAACTTTGCATTTGTCTTTTTCCCGGTACTCTTTTCCTCTGCCTCTACTTTAAGCTCTGTTCCGCTGAACGTCATTTGCACACTCACCGATCTACCAGTGCCAGATCCGCCTAGCTCAATAGTAAGATTTCCAAGATGTGTGCAACTTGGGTCCGTGACAAATGTCGGTTCAGCTTCGTCAGAAGCATAAACTGGAAATACCAATGTCTTTGTGCTCTTCGAAGTTGGTACATACGATTGTGTAACCTGACTCTCCCCGTATTCAACAGGCTGCCCAATTTGGACATGCCTATCAAATATGTCAGCACATAGAATATCACCGTCATCGTCAACAAATTTCTTTGACTCTGGATGAATACGTTCGTTAAATTGATGGCATGTCTTCACTCCGTATGTGTATCGACAGCGTCGTTCCTGTATGACAGATGGATCATGACCGAAAATGACAGCCCCTTTGAGAACTGCAAGGCCCGGATCTGCTGGTATTATGATCTTTTTATCTGGCATCGTTCTCTTTATGACATCTTGTAGCATAGGTGATTCTGAAAACCCACCAACCATTAGAATGGTAGGAACATCCTTGACTTGACCTTCCGTAAAAAGGGTTTTTAAGTGTTCGGCAACACTCTCACAGGCATCTGCAAATAAACCCTTTGCAACGTGTGCTTCCATGCGTAGCTTGTCTCCAATCCAGTTAACGCTTTTTTCATACTTCGGTTTTGTTTTGATATGATCTTTAATATCCCTTCCCTTCTTTTGTTTGAATCCTTCATTCAGAGCAATAGGAACTTTGAATGTTATTTTCTCTGTCATCTCATTCTTAAAATTCCTCTTCTTTACCTCAAACTCTCGAAATAGATCTATATAATCCATCATCTGAGTTGTTTGGAAGTCGTCCATAACATCGTTGCCTACTATATCTGCCAGGAGATTTCTGAAAGCTATATCAATATAGGTGCCTCCCCAGTTTCCTCCATTCGCTTTGTAAAGTTCTTTCAGTGAGCCACTCGGCTGGACCTCGTGAACTGTAATATCTACAGTGCCGCCTGCAAAAATGAACAAAAATGTTCTGGGAACTTTTTTATATGTTTATGTTTATTTTTTTGTTTATACGTGTTTATGTTTCCTACATATCGTACTTAATTTATATTTATATCTCTAAACATTTGAAAATGCCAAGTTATTACTCATGTAAACATTTTTTTTAACTTGTGTTCACAGTTACTAATTTTGGTTCTTTTGCTGGTGAAATTAGTAAATATCGTGGACAAGAAAATGAACAAGACATTCACATCAACAGTTCGTAATAAAGATCCTTTACATAAAACCTACCACCAGCATCAAATACCAAGTATTTCGAACCCGGGGCAAAAGGTACAAAATTACAAGAACCCCCACCAATAGCGTTCATCGGCAAATGTCGACAACACAGACTTGCTGCTTCTGGTTCTAAAGCAATCAACAAGTTCTCATCTGAAATGCCGGCCTGTTTATAAGAAAAAAAAACATATTCTTATCATTTCTTAAACAAAAAGAGATCGTAATAAAAACCGACAACTTTTGCATATGAAGTTAGTTCGAAAGTTTCGATCGTCTTGAATGTCAGATGCACGTATCATGATTTAACAGCATATCTTTGTACCAACTATTCATTGATATAAACGACAGTTTAAATGACAGAGAAGAAATGTGTATGTGTAATGACACTGTATATGTGTGGATAACTAGTTTAATGTGTATTTTTAGACCTTCCATATTTTGCTCAACATTTTACAAATTTATTTAGTATCTGATAAATATTTCACCTTTGCTGCAGCTTCCCTCATAAACTGTTTCGATGTATCATTCCAAATAGCAGGAACAGTAAGCACCCAGCGGATATCACTGTCGCATGTGTCGGGTAACTGTTGTAAGCATTTCTGTTT